CCCTCATTAACATTTTTGTGACGTTATCTCGCGTCACTGGCGAGCTGGGGTCTGTTTGTTCACATCCAGATTTCACTCACACACCGACGCGATAAACTGTGTTCATGTTTAGCTTAATGTGTTCATGTTGATTTAAAGTGACGTGTCAGAAAATCTGGACACTTTACAGGGGAAGTAGAGCCAAGCTGGCACCACGGACATTGTATGAGCGCTGGACAGAATAAAAGTAGGGCTAAATCATTGAACATTTAATAGTTGTTCGTACCTCACTACATTTTTAGTACGAAAAAATGTTAATGATTATAAGTATGACGAAAATATACTAAATTTTTAAAAATGTGTACGTAATTTTACAAATGTGTACCTACTGTAATAAATGTGTAACGAATGTTTGTAGTATTGTGTATTAATTATGATACACTCTCTGACTAATCAATTCCTGTGAACGTAGGCCATAATCCTGCTAGATTTACGTACCATTTACAGCCACTACATCTAATATTTACGGCTATCATGACAGGCGAAGTCACTCTACGTTACGCTGATGTCGGGTCAGCCCAGTTCTCTCCCCTAACAATAAAAACAAAAGAATTATCCACCTTGTCCTGACGAGATTCTCGGGCCAGCGAACGAACTAATCCAAACATTTCGCCAACGTGAAATTATTCTCGGCCTTGCCTGGTCCAGTTTTTTAGTCTCTCTGTCTTAAGTCGTCGGACTAAATCTCGTTGTCAATGGTTACTTTAGTTGTTGGTGGATTTAGAAGGTGGATTAAGTAGGTCGATTGTATGGTAAGTGGGTTTAGTTGGTGGATTAGGTTGGTGGATTTAGTGTGTGTGTGTGTTTGTGTGTGTGCGGGGGAAGGGGTGAAGGGGGGGGGGGGTAGTAATTGACCGGGTATCTTGGAACCTTTATTCAGGAGGGGGGCTCATATCTTGCTGTGGCTATGAGACAATGTGGATTGGCTGAAGATAGTCCTACTAAGGGGGTGGGGGTCGGGGGTAGCACTGTGATGTGGGGAAGTTGTCTACAACACTTGATCCATGTTTCAGTTACGCCAGACGTTTAAAGTCCTTCATGTTCATCTTGAGCCCAATCAATGACGTCATAGTAATTATGTTTCACCCACTCATCAGCGAAATGTTCTAGAACCTCAACTACCAGTATGCTGTTCAATCTCCGTTCAACTATCTCAACCACGACCCCCCCCCCCCCGCCCAACATCCCCTCCCTCCCCCGGCCAGTAAAGATTATTTTGTAATCCACGAAAAAAAAATGTATTTATTTTCTTACCTTAAAAAGATTTTGCCGCCTCGAATCGATCCGTATTTGTATCGATTCCACTCTGAGCTCGATATCAAAGCTCCATATGAATCGAAACCTTTTAGAAGATCGTCATTCCTGCAAGAAATGTGTTTATCAAAAAACGAAAAATGTGAATGTGTTCACATCTTTGCAAGAAGCAAATGGATTTTTTTCCTCCACACCTTAATTCATGTTATTTTGTTACGCGTATTAATTTTTGCTTCAATTCGTATTTTTAAAGTTTTAAACAATTTTTAACGCTTTGTTAAATTAGTAAATGCGGCTCAGTGCGTTTTTACCTCGCCCAGTTGACATGGGAGACAATGCACTCTACGATCAGAAGTGAGAGTCCCGCCATGTTGAAAATCTAAACAAAAAAAAATTAAATACAACAATAATATAGTTGCGATAATAGAAATAGTGTCATAGTTTTAAATTCGAGTTTAAATTTTTTGGAATTAAAATAATATTATTATATCAACCGTTTAGACAATTTGTGACGTGAAAAAAAAGAATGGATATTATCATCTTGTTTTTGATTATTTGAGCGTCTGTAACGTATTTTAAAAAGTTGGGTAAAAATTCTGATTACATAAATTGTGTGAAAAATCGACCCACTATACTTTTAACAATTAACAAAAATATTGTGAAATGCACATTTACAACAGAAATCACGAAACAGATTACCAGATTTTTCCAAAAATTAGTTTCCAACAACTTCACGATTTCACGTCAATTTACATTAGTAAAGCCGTTCTGGGTGTTTAATTTCTCGTAAGTTTTAATTGCAGTTTGCAATTAGTCGATTGGTCGTTTTATTTCTCTAAGTTAATGGTATCTATTTGACTAAATTATGTTTATTTTGAGACAAGTGAACATGTCTAAAAAATGTCGTTATAACACTTTACCAACAGGACACGGGACATGGGACATGGGACATGGGACATGGGACATGGGACATGGGACATGGGACATGGGACATGGGACATGGGACATGGGACATGGGACATGGGACATGGGACATGGGACATGGGACATGGGACATGGGACATGGGACAGGACATGGGACATGGGACATGGGACATGGCACATGGGACATGGGACATGGGACATGGGACATGTGACATGGGACATGGGACAGGACATGGGACAGGACATGGGACATGGGGCATGGCACATGGGACATGGGACATGGGACAGGACATGGGACATGGGACATGGGACATGGGACATGGGACATGGGACATGGGACATGGGACATGGGACAGGACATGGGACATGGGACATGGGACATGGGACATGGGACATGGGACATGGGACATGGGACATTGGACATGGGACATGGGACATGGGACATGGGACATGGGACATGGGACATGGGACAGGACATGGGACATGGGACATGGGACATGGGACATGGGACATGGGACATGGGACATGGGACATGGGACATGGGACATGGGACATGGGACATGGGACATGGGACATGGGACATGGGACATGGGACAGGACATGGGACATGGGACATGGGACATGGGACATGGGACATGGGACATGGGACATGGGACATCGGACATGGGACATGGGACATGGGACATGGGACATGGGACATGGGACATGGGACATGGGACATGGGACATGGGACATGGGACATGGGACATGGGACAGGACATGGGACATGGGACAGGACATGGGACAGGACATGGGACATGGGACATGGGACATGGCACATGGGACATGGGACATGGGACATGGGACATGGGACATGGGACAGGACATGGGACATGGGGCAGGACATGGGACATGGGACATGGGACATGGGACATGGGACATGGGACATGGGACATGGGACATGGGACATGGGACATGGGACATGGGACATGGGACATGGGACATGGGACATGGGACATGGGACATGGGACATGGGACATGGGACATGGGACATGGGACATGGGACATGGGACATGGGACATGGGACATGGGACATGGGACATGGGACATGGGACATGGGACATGGGACATGGGACATGGGACATGGGACATGGGACATGGGACATGGGACATGGGACATGGAACAGGACATGGGACATGGGACATGGGACATGGGACATGGGACATGGCACATGGGACATGGGACATGGGACATGGGACATGGGACACGGGTTATGGGACATGGGACATGGGACATGTGACATGGGACATGGGACATGGGACAGGACATGGGACATGGGACACGGGACATGGGACATGGGACATGGGACAGGACATGGGACATGGGACAGGACATGGGACATGGGACATGGGACATGGCACATGGGACATGGGACATGGGACAGGACATGGGACATGGGACATGGGACATGGGACAGGACATGGGACAAGGGACATGGGACATGGGACATGGGACATGGGACATGGGACATGGGACAGGACATGGGACATGGGACAGGACATGGGACATGGGACAGGACATGGGACATGGGACATGGGACATGGGACATGGGACATGGGACATGGGACATGGGACACGGGACACGGGACATGGGACATGGGACATGGGACAGGACATGGGACATGGGACATGGGACATGTGACATGGGACACGGGACAAGTGGACATGTCTAAAAAATGTCGTTATAACACTTTACCAACAGGACACGGGACATGGGACATGGGACATGGGACATGGGACATGGGACATGGGACATGGGACATGGGACATGGGACATGGGACATGGGACATGGGACATGGGACATGGGACATGGGACATGGGACATGGGACATGGGACATGGGACATGGGACATGGGACATGGGACATGGGACATGGGACAGGACATGGGACATGGGACAGGACATGGGACATGGGACATGGCACATGGGACATGGGACATGGGACATGGGACAGGACATGGGACATGGGACATGGGACAGGACATGGGACATGGGACATGGGACATGGGACATGGGACATGGGACATGGGACATGGGACATGGGACATGGGACATGGGACATGGGACATGGGACATGGGACATGGGACATGGGACATGGGACATGGGACATGGGACATGGGACATGGGACATGGGACATGGGACATGGGACATGGGACATGGGACATGGGACATGGGACATGGGACATGGGACATGGGACATGGGACATGGGACATGGGACATGGGACATGGGACATGGGACATGGGACACAGGACACGGGACATGGGACATGGGACAGGACATGGGACAGGACATGGGACATGGGACATGGGACAGGACATGGGACATGGGACATGGGACATGGGACATGGGACATGGGACATGGGACATGGGACATGGGACATGGGACATGGGACATGGGACATGGGACATGGGACATGGGACACAGGACACGGGACATGGGACATGGGACAGGACATGGGACAGGACATGGTATACATCCCAAAACACATTTCATGACCTACAACAGAACGTGTTACAGGACCTGCAGCATGACCTAACTTGAAGTAGGACCTAACCAATTGATCTCTATCCTTCAAGAGACCAGAGCTTAGCATAAAGTTGCTGGACCCCTGCCTCCTGATCTAACAGCCTCCCCGTACCCGGGGAACTCTACCCCCTGCCCCATATCCCAGGGACCTCCCCGTACCCCATGCCCCATGTCCCAGGGACCTCCCCGTAACCCTTGCCCCCTATCACAGGGACCTCCCCGTACCCCCTGCCCCATATCCCAGGGACCTCCCCGTACCCCCTGCCCCCTATCCCAGGGACCTCCCCGTACCCCCTGCCCCATATCCCAGGGACCTCCCCGTACCCCCTGCCCCATGTCCCAGGGACCTCCCCGTACCCCCTGCCCCATGTCCCAGGGACCTCCCCGTACCCCCTGCCCCCTGCCCCATATCCCAGGGACCTCCCCGTACCCCCTGCCCCATATCCCAGGGACCTCCCCGTCCCCCCATGTCCCAATGACTTCCCCGTACCCCCTGCCCCATATCCCAGGGACCTCCCCGTCCCCCATGTCCCAATGACTTCCCCGTACCCCCTGCCCCATATCCCAGGGACCTCCCCGTCCCCCCATGTCCCAATGACTTCCCCGTACCCCCTGCCCTATATCCCACGGACCTCCCCGTACCCCCTGCCCCATGTCCCAGGGACCTCCCCGTACCCCCCTGCCCCAGGGACCTCCCCGTACCCCCTGCCCCATATCCCAGGGACCTCCCCGTACCCCCTGCCCCATATCCCAGGGACCTCCCCGTACCCCCTGCCCCATATCCCAGGGACCTCCCCGTACCCCCTGCCCCATATCCCAGGGACCTCCCCGTACCCCCTGCCCCATGTCCCAGGGATCTCCCCGTACCCCCTGCCCCATGTCACAGGGACCTCCCCGTACCCCCTGACCCATATCCCAGGGACCTCCCCGTACCCCCTGCCCCATATCCCAGGGACCTCCCCGTACCCCCCTGCCCCAGGGACCTCCCCGTACCCCCTGCCCCTTATCCCAGGGACCTCCCCGTACCCCCTGCCCCATATCCCAGGGACCTCCCCGTACCCCCATGTCCCAATGACTTCCCCGTACCCCCTGCCCTATATCCCAGGGACCTCCCCGTACCCCCTGCCCCATGTCCCAGGGACCTCCCCGTACCCCCTGCCCCATATCCCAGGGACCTCCCCGTCCCCCCATGTCCCAATGACTTCCCCGTACCCCCTGCCCTATATCCCAGGGACCTCCCCGTACCCCCTGCCCCATGTCCCAGGGACCTCCCCGTACCCCCTGCCCCATGTCCCAGGGACCTCCCCGTACCCCCCTGCCCCAGGGACCTCCCCGTACCCCCCTGCCCCAGGGACCTCCCCGTACCCCCTGCCCCATATCCCAGGGACCTCCCCGTACCCCCTGCCCCATATCCCAGGGACCTCCCCGTACCCCCTGCCCCATATCCCAGGGACCTCCCCGTACCCCCTGCCCCATATCCCAGGGACCTACCCGTACCCCCTGCCCCATATCCCAGGGACCTCCCCGTACCCCCTGCCCCAGACAAGAGGTCAACGACCTGTGATGAAATGCACTGTTTGCAGGGGAGCTAACCCCAACTTTAATTACGTTTTTCAATCGCACCGGAAGAGGAAGCTTATCGCTGCGCATGTCAAAACTCCCCTCGACAGTTCCGTTTCTATTTAAAACTATCTCAGCCAGCGAGACCTGGGACACAAGTGACGGTCGTTGATGGACAACGGTCGATGCTGACGTCACATCAATGATGGTCGATGGTTCGTTCTAGAAGTGATGAGATTTGTTTTCAAATAAATTTCTTTGTAGGTGATACAATGCTTCGGTTCACTTCAACTCATGCTCTCTCTCTCTCTCTCTCTCTCTCTCACTCTCTCTCTTTTTCTTTCTCTCTCTCTCCTTCTCTCTCTCTTTCTTTCTCACACACACATATACATACACAAACACACACTCACACACAAACTCACACACACACATAAACCCCAAAAACTTGCTACTGTAAAGCAGTATAAAAACGCAAATTTAAACCGTAAAAATACCTACGGTTAAAAAACGGAAAAGATTGCTGAGTAAAAATAATTTTAATTAATTAATCGTGAAATGTCCAGAAGTGTTGAGAAATTGTCGGCCTGACAATCGGACGGTAATTTATTGATGCGGCCATCTTTCAAACAAGTGGCAGGACCACGCCCACTTTTCTCAAAAATACCATCTCATTATTTTAATTTAACTTTAATTAAAACCCTATCTGCCACGCACGACACAGTAGCCAGCACTTTTAAAACTAGCCAGCCGAGCAGTTTTTAAATTGTGAATAAACTGTGAAAACATTGTGAATAAACTGTGAATACATTGTGAATAAACTGTGAATACATTGTGAATAAACTGTGAATAAATTGTGAATAAATTGTGAATACATTGTGAAGTTTAGCTCTCGCCCTAGACACGTTTTTCGGCTTGCAAGCAACATTTTACTCGGGTGTTGCACGCTTTACTATGGTCAAAGTTGACTTTCAAGATTGAAGTTGTCATGTAGGATCTAGTGTGTTCTTCGTTTGTTTTGCATTACGTTGGCTGTTATATTGTCGTTTGTATCTATATATATAATTCTCTTCTTGGAGACGATAGAAAACACCAAGCTGTAAGCGCGCTCCCTACCACCCCCACCCCTACATGGTCTGGTGAGCTGTGGTTCACGCTAAATGTTTACAATTGTAGACCCGGGTTTGGTGACGGCTATTAGGGGCAGATAATTTAGTTTGAAACTATTTTAAACTTATGGGAGGTAACCAAGAGGAGTTTGCTTTCAGGGGGGGGGAAATTGGTGGTGGTGGGGGGGGGGGGTAAGGAAAGGAGGGGGTATCGTCCTTAACGACCATCTGATAGTGTTTTAAAGCAAATATTTTCAGTGGCAGCATTGGTACTGTCGAATTCACAAATTATGAATTACTGAAAAGTAGAAAGTAAAACAACTAAATAGAGGCGTATGATATGCCGCGGGTCGGCTCGTAAGATTTATTATTGAAACGTTGTACGACGTATATTATTTTAATGTGTGTATGTGTGTGTGTGTGTCAGTTGTGTTGTACTAACATCCTCAGCGTGTCGATCTGTGTCGTGTATCTGCCACAACAACACGTAAATATGTTGTTGTAGTCGCTAGACAGTTAAAGCTGCTGTTGATGCTGCGGTGTTGTACGCGCCGCACAATCCTTTAATCCTGTCAACATCTTCCATTTGCTCTGTTTTTAAAAACTTCCAGATAGTATCAGAAAACTGACATTTTCTTTACGGAAGAAAGTTGATAATAAATAGACAAAACAAACAAACAAACAAAAAGGTTTATTGAGTTGTTAGGTTGTTGTTAAAAAAAAACAACAATTTTTTTGTCTTAGTTTCAAAAACTGAGACTTTTTTGTCTCTTAAATGTTATAAATGTATGGTTGATTTTGTATTTACGATATTCAAACAAAATGAAAATTTCGTTCAAAGTTGTCGGTTATACAAAAATCAATTGGCCTATATTTACACTTTAAAAAATTATTTTTAAACAATATAAACTTTTGTCTTTGTTGATCGAATTTATGTATTGCATATATGAATTACAATAAATAATTTATATCACCACACAATGTAATAGTTGAAAACATAAATGTTCTTTATAAGCAAAGTCCCTCCCTTCCACCCCCCCCCCTAATAGCGCCAATAACTTTGGTACTAATTACATCAGTGACAGAATGTCCCTAATTGTCACAGTCATGGAATCACAATATCACAGATTTGTGACAGTGGCTGAATCAAAATATCACAAAAAGTGACAGAATGACATTGTCACAAATTTATGACACTGACTTTCAAGTTACCAATTACGTCAGTCCTGCAACTCTTTGAATCAAACACAATATGACGGATCAATTAAATGCTGTGGTCGTCACCATGGCAACAAGACGACGCAGGAGACGGACATTGGGACGTCAACAAGATGAGCTCAACTAAACCCTTTACTGATGTCACTTCCGGTCAGCTCAACAGTCGTCTTTTTCCGTCGACCTTCACCTTCCAGTCGCGTTACAACTACAGGATACGAGCGCACAATGTCATCTGCTAGAAACGATTGACCAATGGTCAGACAAAGTAGACGAGATAATTCAGAGGTGTAAAAAGATAAAATTTTGATCAATAGTTAAAAGAAAACATTCGCGAATTGATTAAACAAACTTTGACCAATCAGACTGAGGAAAATCAAATCTTAACAAAAACATAACGAAAGATTCGATCTATAGTGACCACATATTTGAAAAGAAATTTCTAGAAGTTTTTTAATAAATGTTTAGAAGTGTTTCTCTCCTCCCAAAAAAAAAAAAACCCAAAAAAAAACCTGACAATTTTTTCCCGAATATTTATTTCTCTTATTTCCCACGTCGTATTTTTAACCGACATTAATTATTGGCCGGTGATAACCAAAATTTGTAAATAAATAACTTTTGTTGCGTTTGTCTGGCACATCCGCCACACGCAACCCTCACACGGTTGTGTGTGGGTTAAGTGTGGGATGTTGTGTGGGTCCAGTTGTGTGGGTCTAGTGTGGGATTTTGTGTGGGTCCAGTTGTGTGGGTCTAGTGTGGGATGTGACCTAGTAGCACAGATATTTTGACACCGACTCTACCAGTAATGTCATTCCGTGTTGATTATGGCTAGGTAACTTATAAACAGATTCTCTCAGAACTGGCAATGTTAGAGGTAGTAGGGACGTTAATCAATAGGTGGTTGTGTATGTATTGGGGGGGGGGGGGGTTAGGAAACTACTACAGTGGCTATGTACATACACATACTAACACACTACCCTAAAGAACAGTTTATCAAACATCAGCGATCTTTTTGTTTAACGTACGTTTCATTTCTTAAGGTTTTCTTGGAATGTCTAATTAAAAAAAAAACAATAAACAAACATGCTGGAATTTCTTTAAATTACTTCGAGTAAATTTGGCTGTGATTTTATCATGCAACACCCAACTCCCCCCCCCCCTCCCTCATCCCCATTAGGAGGATTCTAACTGAAATAATGATTGTTTCGTCATCTGTGTCATCTTCACCTCCGCCCCCCCCCCCATGTTTGTGACGTCATTTAAGCACGACCCCGGTGCACTGTGTTTTGGGGCGGACAAAAAAATCCGAGTTTTATTTGTCCCGTTTTACCCGTGTTCATGAATTTTTTTCTATCTTTGTTCCAATGTAAAGATGTAGTACCATCAGCTTAAAACATCATCGTGATGATGTAGTACCATCAACTCACAACATCATTTTTTACTAGTCGATCTTTTCACCATTTGTCAGTGTGGGGTGACTTTTGTGGTGTGACTTTTGTGGGGTGACTTTTGTGGTGTGACTTTTGTGGAATGACTTTTGTGGGGTGACTTGTGGGGTGATTTTTTTCAGTGTGTGGTGACTTTAGTCCGGCCACCTTCTCCCACCTAGAATATCAAAACAACTTTAGGGGAAAAAAAATTATCAATTGACCAGTTAACCATTTTACAATGTAACCTCGATCCACCCACCCCACCCCTTAAATAGCCCCACTCCATCCCACTCTATTCACTGGACATCCACTGGACATTTGCTGGACTTTCACTGTAGAGTTACTCTAATCAAACCATTTTTTTTCAGGATTAAACTAAACGCACCAATTAACCTAGCACTTTAAATAATGATGACGTCATTAGTTCAAAAAATTCCGAACAATTAAAGCGATCTGAGTCAATAAAATTTACATTTGCTCCGTGTGTGTGTTTTAAAAAAAACTCGAGGGGCGATTGTGAGGCAAAAATTGTCGATAAGGCAAAGGTGATAGCTAGGAATAGAGAACTGTGGATCTCTTCTTTGTTGTTTTGAAAGGCCGTCTTTTCAATGTTACTGTATTGGCCATTTCTAGTTTGTTACATTAAAATATTCAAAACTATCTCGTCCTTTTTTATCTCTTCTATTTTATCTCTTCTATTCTTATCTCATAAAAGTCATCGGTTATTTTAATTTGAGGCAGACGATAGTGGGAGTGACACTAAACTGTCACTGTCACTGATGACAGTGTCCTGACACATGTCTGACTCCTAACCTGAAGGACTCTACACTCTTGTAGTTACAGCGCCCTCGCCTCCAGCTCGTTACACGCTGGCCCCGCGAGAACTTCCACGATCCCATTGTTTTCTGTCGTGTACAAAAACTTCTCATATTAAGTTGTGTATCAGCCCTCGCCACAGGTGTCCGGGAACTAATCAAACGCTGATGGTCAGACGTCTCAGGTAAATGTTGGTGGAGTTGGATGGGTGGTTCACGAGTGGATGATTTTTCTATGACCTTCACCTCACCCGCCTGTCGTCCTTGACCGTTGCCATCTCCTGGCCTCGACCTTAATCACCCTGACCTTGACTGCAAGTTTTTTGTCCTGACTTTCGCAGCTCAGGTACTTCCCAGCACTTTACAACACACACTACCCCACACATTACCCCACACATTACCACACATTACCCCACACATTAC